ATCTTCTGTGTCTGTGTTAATTGGTTTCCCTTTTCTTTGTTGAAGAGGGTCTGTGCAATCCTTCTGCCTAGTCCGCCATCTTGCCCCCCCAGATTTTCTTTTAATGTATCTTGTAAGACAGGTCTAAAACCAAGACCAAACCCACTGCCAATGAGTTGATTCCTATTCGTAGAGACCTCTATTGGGTTTCCAAAGCTATAAATCTTTACAGAAATAGATTGCCTCATCTTCTACCCTTGAAGAAGCTGGTGGGTTTGAACTGCTAACCTTAGGCATTGTGCCACCAGAGCTCTTTACTATGCCGCCAGAACTCCTTAAAACAGGTAGTGCCTAAGGCATTTGACTACTAACTAGAAGGCTGGCGTTCAAACCCACCAGGCACTCCTCGGAAGGAAGATTGGGCAATCTACTTCTGTAGTGATACCACCTTGGAAACCCAAGGAGGGGTTGCTATGAGTCAGATCCAACTTGACAGCAGTGCGTGAGTAGAGGTGAAAAAAAAACCTAAATTTCTGTTTGTCTGAGATACTATTTCACCTTCACTTTGAAAAAAAAGTTTTATTTTGGTAAGCTATATATAACAAAACTTGCCATTTTAACCTTTTTAAGTGTACACTTCAGTGGCATTAATTAATTACATTGACTGTGCTGTGCAACTATCACCACCATCTATTTTCAAAACTCTTTCATAATTCCAAACAAAAAAACCCTGTATTCATTAAGCAATAATTCCCCATTATATCCTTCCCCAGCTGCTGGTAAACTCTAATCTACTTTCTTTGTCTATAAATTTGCTTATCCTAGATAGTACATATAAGTGGAATCATACAATTTGTGTGAATATGTGTCTGATTTATTTCACTTAGCGTATTTGAAGATTCATCCATGTTGTCAGCTGTATCATAACTTAATTTCTTTTGATGGTTATATATGTATGTATGTATGTATATGTATGTATGTATGTATAGCTAGTGTGGCTAATGCTGCTATGAACATTGGTGTAAAGGAATCTGTTTGAATCCCTGTTGTTCATTCTTTTGTGTGTATATATACCTAGGAGGGGAATTGTTGGGTCATACGGTAATTCACCAAAGCTCATTTTTACCATTAAGCTCTGCTATGTGTCATTTTAGGACATGAACATTGGGGAAGGAAGGAACCTTGTTTTGGTGACTTGTTTGGAATAACAGGTATGATTCTGATATGAGTCTGACCTGAGGGGAGTCACATTGCCTATCTAGGTTTGATACCTCATCAGAAAAATGAGTAAATTAAATTAACTGACTCCCAAGGTCCCTTCTAGGTCAGACATTCAAGCACTCTAATCTACCAGTTTACATTAGAAAGTTTCAAGCCACTGCCTTCTGCAAGTCCAGGAAAATCAGCTTGGTCAACAAAGGCATCCTGGATGCTCATTTCTGGAAAGATGACTCCAAGGTCATTCAGAAATGGAAACTTTGTAGCAAACAAGTAGACCCATCTGTGGAAAAAGGGCTGGTGGTGGGAACACAGATGACCGTCAAGGAGCTCATGATGTCCTCATTTTCTCAAAGCTCACCATGGCCTCTGCTCTTCTTCCCGGTATTGACAACCATTGCTGTGTAAGTCAACCTATGGCACCAAAACTTCCGAAGTTATTCTGGAAGAAATGAGTTCTAGATCAGCCAATGTTGGGATGGAGCACTGTCAGTAATGTGATATAGCCCCATTATAATAAAAATAAAACATGGCTGGGATGTTGGACAAGGTTGAGAAGCCAGTGGTGTGAAGGTCAACGGGTAGCACCCAGGGAAGCCTCATGTTTTTCATATGGCACTCTCAGCCCAGAATGGCTGCCCACCCAACTCTCAACATCCAAATATTACCTAATCCCCAAGCTCTAGTTCACCTCTAGGAAGGGATCAATTGACTATCTGACTGACACTGGAGAACTCACTTATCTTTCAAGCCCTGATTTTCTCATTTGAAACATACTGATGACATTATTGCCTCTTTTGCAGGTTTGTTGATGTGCTTAAATGAGACAAAGTACATAAAGTGTCCTGCATACAGTATGACATGGTATGTTCTCATCAAGCTCTCATGGTCCTCACAACGCTGTTATGTGTCTCAGGGTTATTCTCCTGCCTCTGGGTTTCTGTTGAACTTGATCTCAACTGCACTGTTATGTCCACCCTCCACCCTTCACATCCTCTAAGGAATTTAGCCCTTCTGGAGTAAACAGTTCCACTTCTTCAGTGTTTTAGATGACATGGATCCTTTCAACCACTCCATCTAGCCTTTCTTGGGAAGAACAAAGAGTGCCAGAGCTTTCTCACTGTAGTCCATTTACAGTACTGTCTAGTTAAGCTCCGTATCCATCAGATGATAGTATTGCTCCATATGGTACACAGTAGGCACTTGCACCATGGTAGTCTTGTCCACTAAGAAGGTAGAATCTTTGTCTTAGATGGATCAAAAGGATTTGCCTAGTAGACTTATAATACAGAGAGAAGAGGGGTGGTTTTTTCCAATAAGAATTAGTGCCTACATGAGCTTAGTCATCACACCTAGTAATTAAGTCATCACACCTAGTAATTAAGGCAGAGATAAGTGTTAACTGTTAACTAGTTTTACAAGTGAGTAACTGAGGATCAAGGAGAGAAAGTGACTTGACTATAGTCACCCAGTGAGCAAATGGCAAAGCCAGGATTCACACTCAGGGCTGTTAGACTCTAGGGTATGTGTTCAAAACCACTATACTACACTAAACCCATCAGAGTCACAGGGTCTTCTTCCATTAAAAGTTGTAAGGACATTCAACACACAGGATGAAATAATAAAACAGATTTGTTCACTCCTCCGCCAGAAGTGGCCGAGATGTGTTGCAATGCAATCAGGTGGAATCCTTTGGGCAGTCAAGTAAAGTGGTTCTTCTTGTTATAGGCACCAATTTTTGAGTCAGACAGACCTGAGTGGGAATACCAACTCCGACACTTACTAAATGTGTTAACTTGAGCTCTCGTGAGGATTAGATGAGACAATGTGTGTAAACCACAAATGTAACACGGTGCTTGGTACATAGAGACTGCAGATTATATGACCTAAGCATTCATGTAAAATGCTGAAGAGTGCACAACAAGTGAGGGTTGTAGTGGGGTTTAAACCCAAGTCTATCTGCCTGCAAGCCCAGGCTTCTTTGGGAAATGTGATGTTCTAGCCAGATGTGAACAGGACTTTTATGCAATTGTCACCTGCTTCCTTGAAAGTGCCCTCTCCCTAGAAATTTCCTGGGGTCATCCACAGAGATGTATATCCCTTCTGGGAGAGCCAGCCCTATGCCCAGTGGAGCAGGTCACTGCAGTATGAGGGACACCTGCTGTTGCCAAGAAAAAAAACAAAGCTTCCTCTCCATCTACCAATCCTTAAAATTACATAAACCCTGATTCTGAAATAAATATCTTAGAGTCTTACTTTAAGGCAAATATTGTTCACCAGGACCATGAGGGTGTTTGGTCTTTGATAAAGCGCACAATTTTCCTTTTGGTTTGCTTCTCCACATGACTTCTCATCTCCTTGGCTGCAGAAACATTGACCAAGTCCCAAAAAAAAAGAGAATTCAGTCTCATTGAGACTCCTGACATTATCTGCAAACTTTGCCAATGGTTTCAGCTACTTCACAACGAAGAGAGAATTTCCCATCTATGAGTCAGATTCCCTCTTTGGAAAATTCAGTGAATAAATCAGGTACTGGAAGCCCACCTGGATCTCTGCTGGGGTATCTGTGAGATTGAACCCCAAGCCCTCAAGTATCTGAGTTTTGGCACTGGAATAGGCCCTTAGGGATAGCATAGTCAAAGCTGGAGAGATGTTCACAGGAGTAAAGAAAGTGTTCCTAACTGAGATTTCCACAGTGAGCCTCTGGTTGAATGTAAAATCGGCATTACTGGAAGACATAGAGAGTGGCATTTTGTTGGGAGAGAATGGCAGGTAGTTACTTTGCTTTCACTTGCTGTCCATTGTTATACAAATTAGTTGTAGCATGAAGCCCAGGTATCAAGAAAACAAGATAGTGAAACAGTGGCATTTTGGAAGAAAAGTAATCAATAAGAGAGATGAGAGAACCATTGGGGGAGTTTAGTTGGATGAAACATTCTATGAACCAAGAACACATAATAATCACCCATTGTGATTAATAAAACAATAGCAAATGTTTGATGGTGTAATCACCAGGGCCTGGGTGGAGGACTCTGATCCTTGGCAAACTGATGACGCATGCAATGGAGGCAGGGAGTAGAAGTGGCTTGCCAGGGCCACAGAAATAATGCCATGGACTCTCGTTCAGATATAATAGTGACATTATGAACATGCTGTGAGTAATTGAATTTATGGAAATTGAATTATTTTTATTTGAACCAGAGGAAGCCTATTGGAGACAGAGAAATCCTTTCTCTGCATACATTATTCTTTGTAGACCAGAATTTTGGACTCTGTTATTTTTATTAATTTGGCACTTAAAAAGAAAAAAAAATAAATGACTTCTTTTAACTAATTTTTTTTTCATGAAATATGTGTAGCTTCAATAGAAGGTTGGTAGTTTATGAAGCCACGTACAAAGTCAATGGCTGAAATCTATGCATTTGTACACTAATGTATAGATGCCAGAGGAGTATTTCCGAACACAAAATGTAACTATCTGCATTTTATCTCTCTCTTGATATCAGCATCATCTAAAGAGTCATTTGTAAATTATAAGGGCATCTTAACACTATTATTCTTACACCCATCAACATTATTTTTAAATGAATTGGAGAAGGACCAGAAATATATGGGGTAAGATGCTCAGAGCCTGAAAGAGTGGAAGGCAATGGAGTAAGTGGTCATCTTTGAAACCCCAATGACAGTGGCCATGCCCAGATTCCACATGAGCACAATTAAGTGTTCTAGAATTCCAATCAATCCTAATGTTATCCATAATTTATAATGATCTACACTGTTAAATGCTTTCAAATAGTCAATAAAACACAGGTAAGCATCTTTCTGGTATTCTGTTTCTGGCCAAGATCCATGTGACATCAGCAATGATAGCCCTCATTCCATGTCCTCTTCTGAATCTGGCTTGAACTTACATGAGTTCCCTGTCTATGTACAATTGCAGTCATTTTACAATTATCTTCAGTAAAATTTCTCTAGCATGTGATATTAATAAAATTGCTCAATAATTTCTGTATTACATCGGATTGCCTTTCTTTGGAATCAGCACAAATATGCATCTCCCTCAGCCAGTTGGCTAGGTAGTTGTCTTCTAAATTCCTTGACACAGATGAGTCAAGAGCCATTGCATTTGTTTGTTGAAGCATCTCAGCTGGTTTTCTGTCAATTCCTAGAGCCTACTTTTTCAACAACGCCATCAGTGCAGTTTTAACTTTTCCTTCAGTATCAGCAGTTCTTGATCATATATTACCTCCTGAAATGGTGGAACGTGAACTGATTATTTTAGGTAATGATTGAGAATTCCTTCCATCTTCTTTAAAAATTTTTTATTCTT